GGGGAACGTTGCAGCAGAACATAAGGATTTGTTTAAAACATGTAATGTGGAGAAAACTCCTTTTGGCTTAGTATTTCAGAGTGTTATAGTGGAGATATTCACTATTCTTATTTGAAATACTTAATAATCATTTTCACCTACCAAGCAAGCCAGACCCAGAATCACAAAAGTTCCAGTGCTAATATATACATTATTTTATATCTGCATTACCTACTTTTTCCATTTAAGATTTTCAGTCTCAGTGAAATTAAACCATTTGTCTGAATGAAGTTCTAGGATAAGTTCACAAGCAGATTATCACCAGTGAAAAAAGGCTGCCTTGAGCCATGGCCAGGCTTAAGTTGTGACACAGATTCTTCAAGAATCAAAAAACTGAACAGAGAACAAACAGAACCAGATTTTAAAGCAGGAAAGGGCTTATGTACCAAGCCTGTGGCGCTTTCAGGGGCTGACTTCCATAGGCAAAAAAAAGCCCTTCTCATTGGAAAAGGTTTGTGTAAAAATACCATGTAAAGACTTTGGATTCCTGGGAGCATGAGGAGGAAAAAGTGATGCCATATCTAGCTACAACCCAAGTCCATCAAATTTTATAGTATAAATTGTCAAATCTTCCTGAGAATATGTGAAAAGTGTTATGAGAGCACTGCCAACATTTTCAGGATTTTTCCAACACAGAATGTCTTTTGAATCAACGAAATTGCTCAGGCAAAGACTTTTAGCTCCACGCACACACTGCCTTTCCTACCTTGTGTCCCTCCTGTGTTAAGTTATGGGGAGAAGTGACACTCTGCACTTTCATCCCCACAAGAATCTGCACAAGGCACAACTGAAATGCAATTCAGTTGAAATGACTGTCATGACCCATGTTCAAAAACAGAGATTCAAAAATCAGGTTAAAAATTAGAATAAACCCCAATATTAAGGCATGCAGAAATATTACTTTAGGATATTTCTAACTAATAGAAAAGTATAAACTAAAAAGTTTTTTAAGACAGTAAGGCCGCTGAATGCCTTGTATTGACATAAATGGGATCTGAACAGCCACATTTAAACTAAAAGAGCAAAAGCCATTTTACTGTATTTTCAGAGAACTTTTAAGGAAAAAATAACCAGGCTGATTATGGCACTATTAGGACATCTATTCTTACCTTTTCAAAGTTAAAAATAGAATCTGTGTAGCATAAGTGCAACAAAAATAAAATTAAAATTTAAGGGTCTCAGACTTTTCTGTTCAAAATTAGGTGCTTAAACCTTGAACAAGAACAATATTGTAAATAATAGTAAACAGCATAAATGGAAGAGGTAAAAAAGAAGCAGAGTGGTCAATTATGTCTGCAGTACCTATGTGAATGGCTTCTTAACATGGATTCTACTCACTGTGCAGTAATAGTTGGATTCAGTGGCACAATAAATGTCTTTCTGAAGCAAATCTGTGTAAACAACACAGCAGCAACACAATAGCAATAACAACAAGAACAACAAGAAGAATAAAAAAATTATGTGGTCCTGTCGTATTCACACCTGTGAAATTCAAGGCAATCAGAGAGATTTAGTACAGCACCAGAAGCTGAAGCAGCAGTGATTAGGAGCTAAGGCTGGAGCTGTTGCTGTTCACAATGACAATGTTCACAGATGACAATGTGTGTACACTGTAAGAAACTACTGCATGACTTATTTGCTCCCACGCTTGTTAAACATATAGAGAGCTTAAATGCAATTAACTAATTCACAGTGCTGCAGAACAATGTTTCGGGCTGCCAGAATAATCACAATCACAACAACTTCTAATAATATTCTCTTTCTCATACAGTAATATAAACACTTTCAATATCATAAAACACACAGTGCAATAAAGCTGAATTAATCTATCAGGGAAAATGCAATTTGGGGTATTTTGTTATTCTTCAATGCTTGATGTCACCACTATAATATCACAGTAGCAAGGTCTCTGAAGTATTTAACTAGAACAGTATATGGAATGTAACACGCTGCCTCCAACTCCAGTCATTTGCTGCTGAAAAGTTTTTTTAAAATATTTACAGGGTAATTAGTAAGAAATAATTCTGTGTATTGCAAGCAGGAGAAAATATTGCTAGTTGTTAGTTTGCTGAGGAAGTGTGATGACACACATTTTTTAAATTCCCTGATTGTTCCTCACCCTTTGTTACATTAGCAATATGTTGATGTGATGAAATATAGAGCAGTGAACTAAAAGACTGAGAATTCTGCCAAGCACCAGCTTTGCCTCTGGCCAGAGTATTCTGTACACCTGCAGTCCTGAAAGCACTGGGAAGGTTTCTAATTTCATGTTTTGAGAATAAAAATAAAATGCTCTCAAGGAGTTAGAAGACCTTGCATTTTGGCCAACTGCACTTACATTTTTGGCACTATATCCTAAAAGTGAAAAGAGACAATTGGGAAATTTTCTCACAGTATCCAAGTTAAGGATGGATCAGTAACACAGCAGTGTCTTCTGCTCTGACCAAAATCTCTTGAGATGTTCTAAAAATGGGCTTTTTAGCTAATTATTTCATGAAGGATTGCATCATTGTACAAATTTACCTAAAAATAGCTTCTCAGAATTCTCAAAAGAATATTGGCCAGGGTGATTATACACATTATGTAATCACACGGCCAAGCCCACAAGGTAATTTTGTTTAATATTATATTTCTGAATGGTTTTTAAAGCCTACTACGAAATTCTACAGCTCTGAAAAAACAGCATTTGGTGTCTGAATCAAAGCAATTCCAGTGATTTTGAGGGTGTATTACTATGCTTCCCAATTATTTAAGCACTAAACAATAAATATTTAAATGACAGATTGCAGATGCTAATTTGCATGTAAATCGTTATAATTAAATATGTTTGCTTCTTATGAGAACTTGTTTGCACCACAGAGGTCAGAATGATTACTACTAATTTTACAGCTGAATACACTGTGACACAAATAATTTTTCTAGGTTGTCTAGGTTTTGACATAAAAAAAAATTCTCTTCTTCCAGCTTAAAAAACCCAGAACTTTTACTTACACAGTCACAGTCCATAAAAAGATGGCTCAACTCATTCATATAAATAACATTTTAATCTTTAAAATATCATATACGTATCTTTAGCTTTATTAAAATATATCATAAATATTCTCATTTCCTGACAAAGGCAGGATATTTCATTTCTCTAAGATGCCTCTTTTTCTTCTGCAGTATGAAAAATTGTGACAAATTTCTTTAAAATCAATGTCTTAATAGGAGTTTACAAAGTGTTTGACATTCCAAAAGGCAGAAAATGTGAATATATATATGAGAGGAATATAGACTTTTTATCATGGATCAATATGTTGTTTTGCCTCTCAAAGCAACAATTCCTCTAACAATAAAGACAGGAATGAATTTAGGGCTTTATGTTAATGTTTAGCATTATCTAGCAATTCATCTTCTAATATTTATAAATATTTCTCCTTTGATGATCACATTAGGCTGGAGAAGTTGGGCTTTTTTGAATTCTCTCATTCAGCAGTGTAACAGCTGTGGAAATGGAGCATGGGACAAATAAGAGCAGAAGAAAACAAGCGATGCTGCAGATCATTTAGTGAAGTTCTTGTGAACCAGAAACAGCTCAAGAGACAGCACCTCCCAAAGAAATGAGGAACTGGGAGGATGAATCACACAGGGGGGAATCTGCCACTGCCCCCTGCCCAGCAAAGTCAGAGCAAGCCTTTGTGGTGGATGCACTTGAGAAACCTTTGGAGGTTGACAGTGGTTCTCCCCAAAGGGATTAAAGAAGTATGAGTGAAGTCTACAATCTCTATTATCAGATAATTCTTAAGTGTAATAAAGGGGTGACCTAGTTAAACCACATTCCTGCTCCTGGTGACTCTTTTTTTGTGGTGTCTGAGATAACAGGGAGATTATTTTGGCATCCATTTAATCTAGTTAAATGGCTTTACTGAAGATCTTTATCACTATAAATAATGGAGGTAGATGAAGTATTTGGTTACAATTCTAACTGAAATTATCCAACACAATGCTCCCCTAGCAATCCCCTTCTGCTGTTCCTTCTCTCTGGCTGAAGAAAGTTCTGGATGTTTTGAACACTTTCCAGCAATAGTTTAAAGGTACAACATCAAACCAAAATAAGCACAACAATAAAACCCAGGTCTCTGATGAGAATTTTTTAAATATCCATGACAGGTATCATGGAACATGGCAAAGTGGTGTATTCATTTACTCTTCTGTAACCTAAGATGAAGGTAAAAAAGGAAGGTATTTTAAAAAGGAAAATAACTATCCTCTCTTTTCCAAAGCAAAACAAAGCAAAAATCCCTAAAATTATTTGGAACTCGCATCATCTGCTCTGGTCAGCACAGTGGGATGAAATGATAAATAGCATGAGGCATATCTGCCTATTCATCATAATAATTTTGGTGAAATGTCTCCTGAGCAGCTTACTGACCTGAGACACAATTGCATCATGGTGGAACATATGCAATAATATCTGGTTCTAGAGGGTTTTTTAACTACTCTGGTTTTTTTAAACCTCAAATTACTTGTAGTGTTGAAGACAAGGTGATTTTTACCCATTTGAGAATTTATTTTAAGGATAATAACAATTTCTAGATAACATCTCAGAAAGCTCAAAGCCTTCTGAAAACACAATTATTGAACAACAAACAAGCAAATAACTGAACAAGAGGAGGTTAAAAAGAGTTAACAGAGTGGACAGATCTTGCTTTATGCAAAGTTCATCTGCTCTTCTCTCACAGAATTAAGAAGGTTGGAAACTATATGAAGAGGGAAAACAAAATGGATTGGCTGCATATAATGAGCCAAGCAAACTCCAGAGAAGCAACACTTGAAAGGAACACATCCTACCTTTTCCAGCTGCTGTCACATGTCAGACCTGGCTTGAACACTTCCAAAAGGACATCAACATTAAACAGTACAAATGAAAATAATGCCAGTTTTCTGTTGCCATGAAAGTATAAAAAGTAATGTCTCCCCACCTGCTGTTTTAACTGATGTACTAATCTGTCCTTCTCTCGTTTAAGAGCCATTACTTCATCTTGAGTCTTCTTTTTCTTTGAAGCAGACAGCTCAAGCAAGGCAATATTTGCATCTTTTTCACTAATTGCAGCAAGCAAAGCTTCCTGTCTGGTAAAATAAAATAAAATTAAAATCGTTACATTCTCATTAAAACAGAATATATTATACTATATCACACTGTGTGAGATGTTTTCTTTCACAGGAAAACAATCACCTACCTTTTGAACACTCTAAATAACAAACATTGTCAGGTCTAACCAAATCATGAAATAAACTGATCAGCCAAAAATTTTTCCTTATAGATTTTTCATTATTTGTTTCATCAACCTATCTCAGTCTATTTTACTACAATATAATGTCTAACAATAGTTCTGTGAAATTTCTTGCTTTTAAAAATCTTTGATTTTTCTCCTGTTCACTTTCCTGAATTCTAGAATCCCTTACACAAATCTCTTTTGAATTATTCAGCTCATAGAGATTGAATAATGGAAAAAAAGTGGTATAGATAAAACCAGTTTTATATTATCCTATTAAATTGGCATCCTAGGATCCTCGGTGCAGGAATCTCTGGATATCTTCCTCATATTTACTTACTTGTTTTCCTATGGATTTATTATTATTCACTGTGTCAACACAAAAATATATTTCTAGCAGTAAAATACAAGTTTTTTGATCTGATTGTTCATGAGAAATCATTTCCTTTGCAATCTTGACCCCTCAGTTTTAAAGAGAAAACAGAATCTTACAGCGTTTAGATATGTACGGGATAACATAGACACTCACAGGGGAACATCACAAATAGTTTGTGAGGACATAAGACAAAGGCAATTTTTATAGCATGCAGTCGAAAACACAGATCTTGCAGTATCTTATACCCTAAAATGCTCATGCTCTGGCAAGGCCATAATCTGTCCTTTAATTTCATAAATAGAAGAAATATATTCACCTTCTGCAATGTATTCAGCGACAGACTATGACTTATCAGCCAAGAAAGAGCATATAATACTTAATAGCTTTTAGAAAATAATATGCTATGGCCTGCACCTTTTCCCAGAACTATATAAGATCAATCATTAAAAAATAAACATGGACAAATGAATCATAAATTAACCTTGGGCTCCAACTGCTAATAAATGTAAGAATACGGCTCGTGAACTTCATACAGTCAAGGTGAGCAAAAAGTTTGGAATTCTCAGTCCTTTGCTTGCCAGAAAAAATGTCAAGAAAGTTATTTCACTTTTATTTTAAAGTTCTTAATGTATTAATATAAATATTTATAGGACAATATTTCTGATGGAGTCAAAGAAAAACAACCCATTTATTTTAGTCAAAGTTATGCGACATGGATCAATTTTAGATAAACAGTGGCATTTTATTCATACACTTTAATAGTCTCATTTATTATTCTGTCTTCATTCAAATCTCAGTTACATGATGTTTAAAAGATCATGTCATAAGGCTGTAAGTCTTAAATTATAGATATGTATTATTTTAAATAACCAATATTAAACAAAGTATATATATATATATCAGAGGGGTTGCATATCCATAATTATAATTTGAAATTAAATATCCGTATATTGTTTTTCTATAAACCTCATAATAACGCATAAAAATTTCTATGTAGTAACTTGTAAAAGACTCAGTTTGTCCATACATTGTGCTCAAGTACCTACCTACTCCATAACATTTTCATTAAAATATTAACTTTTTAATGCACTAAAATAGAAGAAAGATTTGCTATTCTATTCATTTCCTCCAAACTTGCAGAAAGCAAGCAATTTATCATAAAATCATGGAGTAGTTTGGGTTGGGAGGGAACCTTAAAGTGCATCCAGTGCCACCCCTGTCATGGTCAGAGGCACTTCCCACTGTCCCAGGCTGCTCCAAGCCCCGTCCAGCCTGGCCTTGGGCACTGCCAGGGATCCATGGCAGCCACAGCTGCTCTGGGCACCCTGTGCCAGGGCCTGCCCACCCTCACAGGTGTCAGACGTGACAACACAAGTTCTCTGGCAGAAATAAAGGTATTCTGTGACTTTAAAGCCAAAGAAAAAGAAACAGCATATTGCATATAGGCATTAAATATGTTCTTCCAAATTAAATAAGGTTAGCTCCTCTGCAGTTTTCTAAAAGCACACTTTCATAAAGTTACAGAGATAAGTTAGTTAGAAGTGTAGTAATGTTCCAGTTATAAACATTTGAAAATTAACATTAATACTACCATCACAAACCTACCTATTTTCATTGTGAGTTTGTTAAAGAAATCTACATCTCAGAATTTCCAAGGTTATAGAATATATTTAGGTTCATTCTTATGTTGTGTAGGCTAACTCCATGTCAGCCAGCCCCAATATAATGTCTGCTTTCTAATAGCAAATTCCACAGTAAATACTTGTCACCAATGAGGTTTTAAATGATATATAGTTATTTAACACATATTACAGCAGTAAAAAGCCAAAAGCTGAATAGAAGTTAAAATTATAGGTTGAAAATAACATGAAGCTATACTGAAATTTTACTTCTCTGAATTTTAGATCATGTCACCGCCTCTAAATTGGCAGTAAAAACACAAACCTGACTAGTGAGGAAGAAGAGTCAGTACTACTGAATTATTTTTATCATTTCAACTTCTGATAATAGGATTCAGTCACATCCGTATTTTTTGCACGGCCAGCCAAAACGATCACACATTCTTGTGATTTTAACTGTTCAGCTGTGCCACATTCTCCACTCCACTTTAACGTAACAGATGGGGTGAAACCTTTCATGGGAGAGGAGAGCCAGTCAACATCCTTTGAAAAATCTGCACTCTGGATTCTGCAGCCCCAAACCCACAATATTTTGCAGACCCTAGCACGTATTTTCTCAGCTGATGGGGATTTTCCTATCTTGGGAAAATGCTTGGGAAAATATGTAACCAAACACTTTATTCCAGGAAACAATGACTCATATCAAGCGCTTCCAGGAAATGGTGGATCATAGTCATGTGAAATAGCTGCTGTCAAATGACACCACAAGTGGTCCACTGAGACACTCCAAGATTTGAATCAAACCCACAGCATATATATGCTTGAACTTCCCACCCTCCTCCCCACCAAAATTATTGCCAACATATTTTTTAAATCTTATCTTTTTTGTTAATTTAAGTGGAGGTGGGAGACGTTAAACCTATGAATGTGGAGAGATGACTGCTCGATATGAGGGTGGGGATTTCTGTGGAAATGATTCCCCAGCCATGTGGAATAATGAACACACCAAGTGCAAACTCACACTGCCAGCACTCTTGGAGCCACCCAAACATGAGTCAGGCTCCGTTCAGAAGCTGCAAAGCCGCAGCAATCTGAGAGACAAGGTGTTTTAGCTCGGGCATGGTGCCACACAACGTGCTGATGGCTTCCAGACTGGGGCTGGCTCACACAGCCTGCCCAGCGCGGCCACGGCACCTGTCTGTACAGACATATTCCTGGATGTGTCAGCACGTTATCCATGTTTATTATCATGGATAATCTGAACAGCAATAACCTCAAATATAAGTGGCTTTTAACCAGGCATCCGGGTTAACAAGAGGTTGGCATAGCTGGACTGTATATTCTACCAAATTATATGTTGGTTGCTTTAATTCTTTCTAATTAACTACTTCTGTACACAGGGAAGACAGAGAAGCTGAACAGATTTTATTATTATTTTTCAGAGTACAAAATAAAGTTGCAGGTTGTGACTGAAGAAAGCCGTGTCCTCCTTCACTCCTGTATGGCATAGGATCCAGCCCCCACTAAGTCCCTGGAAGAGAGGTTGAAAAAGACCTTGCCCGCACTTGTGAAGCACTGGAAGTGAAGAAATCCAAGCATTTATGAAGCTGCTTCTCAGGACAGATTGGGATCTCTACATAATTATACATTACCCACACTATTATATCCTATTTATTACATATTACACACTAGTTTACCCACATCTGTGAAAGTTGTTATGCTAGCCTGTCACCATACTTCAAGTTTCCTATGGAAGAACAAAACCTTATGGACAGAAGAAATTTATTTATTTTAGCTATCCAGCGATCTTCCTAAAAAATTAACATCACTGTTTTTGCAGCAAACATTTGAAATGAGACAATGTGCCCACTAGGAACAAGGTTAAGATGCCAGCAAAGTGCCTAACAGTAATGATTTTTCTCACCTACAAACGTGAAGTAACTTCTTTCAAAAATGTAAGCTGGTGGCAGGGATTTTACCTAAATCTCTCGGGTAAGTCATACACTTCTACTTTGCTGCTAAAAAATGAAATTCATCATGAGTTTCAGCGCAAGAATTTTTGAAAATCAAGGCCTGAATTGGCACCAAGAACAACATACAGTCTGATATATTCTCAGCTAATGTGCCTAAGAGTGTAAGCATAATTTATAATTCCTAATTATCTACTGTGTCAGGAAAAAAAATTACTATCCAAATACAGTCCTACAGAGATGTTATCACTATTTGCAGCCAAAATGTCTCCTTATTGTTTAATAAATTATAGCAATAAAATACATTTTAAAATAATTTATTAGAGCACTGGATTAAATGACATTCTTTAACAGTAATATTTATAAAGAGTAATCCCTTTTGTTATTAGTAGTTTTTCCTCTCTTTTTTTGGCAAACTAATCTGTTATACAAATAACAGGGTAGTATTTTTAACACCAAAAAATAAAAAATCACTAACTTTTCACAGTAAAAGTAAGTACACTCACAAATTAAAAAATACACATTAAACCTAACAGCAAATGCTCCACATTGGTAATTATTCTGTACGTTTTTCTTTCACCTGCATAAAGTAATTTCTAAGATTCCCAATTCTTCTATCTTCCACTATAATATGCTGCTTATTGCAAGGAGAAGAAGGAAAAATTTTCCCTGGAAAAGCAAAACTTATGAAATGAAATTTCTCCTCCCCTGGCAAAGGCTGGCTGCAACAACCCAGAGCAACCTCAGGCAAGACTCCTTAACACAGAGCCAGTGAACACAAGAGTCTCTTAACAAGCACACTGACAGCTGAGGGATCTGGGCTGACAGTCTGAGAGCTTCCACTAAGAGGTACCAAAAAAATTTGCGCAAAAATCTGACAGTTCTTAAC